CCCCAAAACCCCAAAACCCCAAAACCCCTCCTTCTTCACCTAAAATTGAACTAGATTTTAGCCTCACCACTATTACAATCACTACATTCGTTAGCTCCGAAAAATGGTGTAGTTGTATTGAAGCCGGAGGATTAGAGAGGAATCAAAGGAATTTGAAGGCAATAAGGGCAAGTGAGAAGGTGGGGATAAGAGGACTAGGAACGAATTTTAGGGGTGATAGAGGTGAAGAGGGACGGAGATGGTGGACATTAAGAACTCACATGCAATTCACGTTCCTCTTTTATATATTTCAACTAGTTTTGTTATTTTAATAAGTTACTCCGTTTGTTCTAAATTATTATTAAAGATATTCGTAGGAGACTAAGTGCTGTTTAATATTTTATGTTATCTTCCCAAAGCTTAAGCTATCAAAAACAACTGTCTCCTCAGAGTCGATTTTGATGCTTAAATTTATGAGATAAACCCACTTATAAACCATAGATTATTAATAAGAAAATTCATTCCACATATTACTAAAATCGATCGGAATGGAAACCAGAATGTTCTGACTAAGAAAATAGACCTTACTTGGTTGATCAGAATATTCTTCCAAAGTACTACCATGTTAATGTACTTGAAAGAGCGATTAAAATTCTTAAGTCTACACCTTTCAAACAAATTTGTAATTACTACCTGGAGAGATTTTATCAGCTATGAGAAATATAGACCAGGTATTAATTCTCGATTTTGTACATATTTTATTGCCTTTCAGAGACTATCATGTCAATTCAATAATCATGAACTCTATTTCTAATCTTTTAGTAAGATATTCCTTTGGAAGAGCATTGAAAGTAGTCTTAGTGATAAGGATAAAATTGCATAACTTAATTCTCTATGTAATCTTTCATTAAAAGTCCTTTTGGGAATGCGCCTGCGAGTATATAGGATGAATTATCATATTTACTTTTTACGCTCGTTTAGTTTAATAGATAAGATAATAATCACCACTGATGATCTTGAGTTCGGTCTATTTAGCGACTTATTCAAGAAATAGAGAATTTTTTAACTCTAATTTTTACGTATCCTTATAAAATATCATGTGCACAATATAGTGTATATGAAGAGGTATGAAGCCAGTCTAACTCTTATTCTCATTCTTTATCTAATCTTGGCCCTAGTTCTTCTCGATTTGTTAATTACCCATACTTCAAGGTAGCACGAGGGAGGTTCAAAATTAGCATCTTAGTCTTCTTCATATATATTAAATAATATCGAACTTGTTAAAACCTTGTGAACTAAATTTGTCAACATAATTTAATATTTTCAAATTCTTTCGAACCAGGTTCATTCACTTGATATTAACAAGGAAGTACACGAAGAGAAATAAGAAGAATTATGTCTAGGAACAAATAAACTGTTACCCAATTGGCCAGTTCACTTTAAAAAATAATGCAGTGAAGTCTTTTGTGTTATAGCTTTTATGAACGCTAGAAATAGTGATTGTTAGCATCAGCTTATTCTATTAGTTAAATTTCAAAATATTAGCTGTTCTTATGAATCTCCTGAAGCAAACCTTCATTTGGAATTATGAATTGGGTTATCACAGCTGGGAGTATTGAATTTTTAAAATGTCAACAAGCTTACATAAAATGGTGAAGAAGGCAGAAAATATATATCCTTCCATCTAATAAGACACTACTGTTTTATGAAAAATAAAAGCTAAGAAGTATTACTGTGTGCGTGCTTGTATGCACACCTTAGATCAGAGTAAACAGTCAGGATTTTATTTTAATATGCTTGAGACGTTTAGAGAGGCCTACTCAAAATGGTGGTGAATAGAAAAAAAGATTTTTGAAAATTTTAGATAAATTATTATGATGTTTTATAAGAAATCACCTGCTGGTTGGACTTGATGGATAGTAAAATCTTTTTTTAGGTTTAGCATTGAAGGGACACTCTTCTGTTTAGAAAATTTTGAGCTTTCTACCTCATCAGACATCATATTCGAAATACTTCGGATCTCCATTGCCTTGTGAAGCAGCTCCTTGATGTCGCTTTGAAGGTTGGATTTCTTAGCTGGACCTTGGGAAGAGAACTTCTTTGAAGGGAGTCCTCAATCTGGAACTATGAGATGATTACTCTTTCATGCTTTAGGCTCTCTTCTCGATACAAATTTTTTAAGTTCTTCTAGACGAGAAGAAGTCGATTTAATCATACTACTAGAATTTGGCTTAATCTGGAAAGGAGAGCTTGACATATTCTTATCAAGATTCTTCGATACATTCACACTTGATGCAGAGGCATTTTCATCCAAAAGGTCAACGGAAATGTTTTCATCAAAGTCAATTAAATTTTTCATTTTTATTACTATATTCTTCAAATTATTTCTCATTATATCACATATGTCATATTACTACAGCCCTTGTTGCCTCTTAGACCTTCCATAAATGAATACATACATCTCTCCTTTCTTACAGCACCTAACTTCCTTCCTACCCTTACATCCATCCCTAAAACTCCTTCTCTAAGCCCAATTATCCCTCCTTCACCCTCTCTATCCTCATTCTCCTTCTTCTTCACCTCTCCAACAACTCTCACATACCTACAAATATCTTCCCCATCCAAAACTCCCACACTCTCTTTCAAATCCCCTCCCTCACTACTCTTACAAACCCCAAAATTTCACTAATTTTTTTTGCATTTTCTTAACTTTTCTTCTAAATTTTAAAAAATTACAAAATTTTTTGAATTTTAGTACAAATTTGTACTGAAGATTGGGGATTTGGGTGGGAGAATAAGAAGGGTTTTGGTAATTTGTATGGGGATTTTGGAGGTAAAAAGTGGGATTGTGAGGAGCTTTAAGGGATCTTGTGGTAGAATGGGAAATTTAGATGGGGATGGAGATTTGATAAGGCAGATTTTGAGAGTAGTAGTAGGAAAATTGTGAATTTTTATAGGGGTTTTGCTAGATAGGCTTAATTTATGTTTCGTATTAAAGGAAGAGAGCCTAGTTTATGGTGGTCTAAGATTGTGGAATGTGTTCATAGTCATTGGTTTAAGAGGTTAGGTGGACATTCATATTTCGTTTTACATAATAATGTTAAGGAATAATTCTGGATTTATAATTTACATCAAAATTTATTGAATATTAGCTGAACAGGATACATTCATTAAGAAAATAATTTTACACAATTGGTAATATTTTAGAATATGGAAGTATTCTAGAAACAGTTAAAACTCTTCTCAAACTTTAAATAAATTTGATGAAGTAAAATCCTTTTTGCATTTATTATTAAAACCGAGGAAAGCTATTAAGGTTTAAAACTGAAGGATACACTTTATATTAAAATAGAAAATCATTGGGATTTTCTTTGAATTATATCTTGCTAAATAGTTATTCCTTCTTTATTAACTTAACTCTTTCAAAGAGGTATCATCTTGAAGGGGTTTTGGGGTTTTGGGGTTTTGGGG